AAAAAAAAAAAAAAAAACAACCTTTATTTATTTATTTATTTATTTATTTATATATTTTTTTTGAGACGGAGTTTCGCCCTTGTTACCCAGGCTGGAGTGCAATGGTGCGATCTCGGCTCACCGCAACCTCCGCCTCCTGGGCTCAGGCAATTCTCCTGCCTCAGCCTCCTGAGTAGCTGGGATTACAGGCACGTGCCACCATGCCCAGCTAATTTTTTGCACTTTTAGTAGAGACGGGGTTTCACCATGTTGACCAGGATGGTATCAATCTCTTGACCTCATGATCCACCCGCCTCGGCCTCCCAAAGTGCTGAGATTACAGGCCTGAGCCACCGCACCCGGCTTTTAATTTATTTTTTAATTTTTAAATTTTTTTTTGAAGACGGGGTTTCACCATGTTGGTCAGGCTGGTCTTCAACTCCCGACCTCAGGTGATCTGCCTGCCTTGGCCTCCAAAGTGTTTGGATTACAGGCGTGAGCCACCATGCCCTGCCCAAAATAACCTTTATTTTATTTTATTTTGTTTTAGTCATCTATGAAATACATGGTAAGATTTTCATATCTTTAATAACCTTTATTTTTATAATAATTTTAGATTTACAGAAAAGTTGCAAAAATTGTACAGTGAGTTTCTGTATACTCTCTCAATTTCCTATAATGTTAACATTTTACATTATCATAATACATTTGTCAAAAGTATAAAATCAACACTGGTACCTTACTGTTTTATTTGGATTTCACTAGTTTTTCCCTAGTGCCCTTTTTCTGTTCTAGGATCCAGTCCAAGATACTACACTGCATTGAACTGGCATGTCTTCATTTACTCGAGTCGATGACAATTTCTCAGTCTTTCCTTTTATTTATTTATTTTTTAATGAGCGTGACAGTTTGGAGGAGTACTCGTCAGGCATTATGTAGAACGTCCCTCAGTTTGGGTTTACCTGATGTTTTTCCCATGCTTGGACTATGGTTATGGGTTTTGTGGAAGAATGCCACAGTGGCAACAAGGCCTTTTCATCACATCACACCAGGGGGCACACGCTGTCAACATGATTCATTATGGAGATGTTTTAATTTGGTCACTTGGTCAACAAGTTAATTTTAGAATGTATGTGGGGCTGGGCACGGTGGCTCACGCCTGTAATCCCAACATTTTGGAAAGCCGAGGTGGGTGGATAACCTAAGGTTAGGAGTTCAAGACCAGCCTGGCCAACATGGTGAAACCCCATCTCCACTAAAAATACGAAAATTAGCTGAATGTGGTGGTGGGGGCCTGTAATCCCAGGTACTCGGGAGTCTGAGACAGGAGAATCTCTTGAATCTGGGAGGCACAGGTTGCAATGAGCTGAGATCATGCCATTGCACTCCAGTCTGGGTGACGAGAGTGGGGAAAAAAAACGTATGTGGAAAATCAAAGGATCTAGAATAGCAAAAATAATTTTCAAAAGTTAAGAGGCCAGCTGTGGTGGTTACCCCTGTAATCTCAGCACTTTGGTAGGCCGAGGCAGGCAGATCACAAGGTCAGGAGATCGAGACCATCCTGGCTAACATGGTGAAACCTCGTCTCTACTAAAAATACAAAAAATTAGCTGCGCTTGGTGGTGGGCGCCTATAGTCCCAGCTACTTGGGAGATTGAGGCAGGAGAATTGCTTGAACCCAGGAGGCAGAGGTTGCAGTGAGCCGAGATGGTGCCATGCACTCCAGCCTGGGTGACAGAGCAAGACTTCATTTCAAAAAAAAAAAAGTTAAGAACAAAGCTATAAGACTTATATTACCTGATTTAATGCCTTACTACAAAGTTACAATAATTAAGACTATGGAATTGGCATAAGGATAAACAAATAAGTCATTGGAACAGAATAGAAAGTTCAGCTGAAAGAGAACTATACTTAATATGATCAACCAATTTTTGACAAAGACAGGAAAACAATTCAAGGGGGAATTATGTTTTTATTAAATGGTGCTGGAACAAGTGGGTGTCTCCATGGAAAAAAAGAGGCTGAGAAACCTGCCCAAGGTCACCAAGTTTGCGAGTGGCAGGGACAAGTATTCCAAGCCAGACTTTCTGGCTAACATGTGCTATAAATTGTGAATATGAATTTATAACCAAAACATGTAGGCCACAATAATTTTTCAGTATAAAATTCGATTTGAGGCCAGGCACAGTGGCTCACTCCTGTAATTCCACTTTGGGAGGCCAAGGTGGGTGGATCACCTGAGGTCAGGATTTCTAGACTAGCCTGACCAGCATGGAGAAACCCCATCTCTACCAAAAATACCAAAAATTAGCCAGATGTAGTGGTGCATGCATGTAATCCAAGCTTCTCCGGGGGCTGAGGCGAAAGAATTGCTTGAATGTAGGAGGCGGAGGTTTTGGTAAGCCGAGATCTCGCCACTGTACTCCAGCCTGGGCTACAAGAGCAAAACTCTGTCTCAAAAAAAAAAAAAAAAAGAAAGAAAATTCAGTCTGAGGCTATACTATTTAAAAATGTCAATGTCATGAAAGAAAAAGCAAGGTTAACAAAATATTCCAGATTAAAGGAGACTCAAGAGACACAGATAAGTGCAATAAATGATCCTGAATCAGATCCTGGATTGTACAGACACACTAAAATTCCACAAGGAACATGAACGTAATAATGGAAAATAATATGGAGAGTATGCGAGATAATAGTTTCATGTGAATGTTAAATTATCTGAATTTGAAGATCATACTGCAGTTATGTAACAGTATATTCTTATTTTTATAAGATATATGTAGAATTATTTGGCTGTAAAGGGTGGTGATATCTGAAATAGTTGAGCACTATTAACAACAACGATCAAAAAAGATCAAAATATATATGGAAGAAATCAAATATTGAAAAATATTAACAATTGGTAAACCTAAGTTGAAAGTATACAGTCATTCATTTTATTATTCTTGCAACTTACCTGTTTGAAATTCTAAAAAGAAAAATACAAATAAAATGTCACTTAAGTGCTAGAATTTGTAATTTTTTTTATTTTAATCATTTATTTTTTGAGACAGGGTTTTGCTCTGTTACCCAGGCTGGAGTACAGTGGTGTGATCATAGCTCACTGCAGCCTCAACTTCCCAGGCTCAAGGCATCCTCAGATCTCAGCCTCTCAAATAACCATGATTACAGGTGTGTGCCACCATGCCCAGCTAATTTTTGTATTTTTTGAAGAGACAAGAATCTCACTATGTTGCCCAGCCTGGTCTTGACTTCTGGATTCAAGTAATCTGCCCACCTCGGCTTCCCAAAGTGCTAGGATTACAGGCTTGAGCCACGTTCAGCTTGTGTTTTTATTTCTTTCAGAGATTTTGTTTCTTCCAGCTTATCATTAAGACTTGTAACAGTAAACAGTAAATGTCTGGAATAAATGTAAATATTTCAATCTAGAGTTTGTGGAGGATCCTAAGAATCTTGTGAGATTGTTCTCATAGTGTGTCCAACTAGGGAAGTAAAACATGTAAAGTTAATTTTTATTTTTTAAGACAGAGTCTTGCTCTGTTGCCAGGCTGGAGCATAGGGGTGTGATTTCAGCTCACTGCAACCTCTGTCTTTTAGGTTCAAGCGATTCCCCTACCTCAGTCTCCTGAGTAGCTGAGACTACAGACACACGCCACCAAGCCCGTCTAATTTTTTTTTTTTTTTTTTGTATTTTGGTAGAGATGGGGTTTCACCATGGCCAGGAAGGTCTGGATCTCCTGAGCTTGTGATCCGCCCATCTTGGCCTCCCAAAGTGCTGGGATTACAGATATGAGCCACCGCGCCCTGCCTGAAGTTAAAATTTATGGAGGTAGCAGGTTTCCCAAAATAGTAATACACTTCTTTATGTACTACAAAGGGATGGAACCCTGGAGCTCAGAGCGGTAGGAGAAGAGTTTGTGGAAAAGGAAGAAACTGAAGAGGAACTTGAAAGGCCAGTGGGCATTGGAAGGAAGAGAATATCTTAACTTGGTGGACCTGAGATGACCACTGGTGTGGTTTTACACCAACAGGTTTCGGAGTCAGGGCGGGTGCAACAGGCTTATAAAGGGAATGGTGGAAAATATTATATGTTAGTGAAAGAGGTTGCTAATGGATTGTGGAAAGCCCTGAATGGTAGACTGCGAGAGTGACAGGATGAAAATGACATTACAGGAAGAGCAATCTGTCAGTTACAATGGCAGTTAAAAAGTGGTGCACAACTGCGCATTAAACAAACTTGGAATTCCAAAGTGCTGGGACCTCTAGCTGGGGGCAGTTGAGTTCGATTCTATTTTAGATCACGTAGAGACTAAAATAGTGCAGATTGATCCTGATCATCAAAGAATTCGTTTGAAAATCGGATTCTGAATGGTGGTAGAAACCTGGGGTACTCCACACTCTACTCTCAATTGCTGTCCCAACTCGGGAAAACAATTGCCTTTCTGAGCGGCTACCATGTTTAGCGATTACTGTGCGTCAAGCGCTTTACGGGCACTCTCATTTAAATGGGCAAACCCAGCTGGGCACGGTGACTCACGCCTGTAATCCCAGAGCTTTGGGAAGCCGAGGTGGGCGGATCACCAGAGATCAGGAGTTCGAGACCAGTCTGGCCAACAGGGTGAAACCCCATCTCTACTAAAAATACAAAAATTAGCGGGGCGTGGTGGCGGATGCCTGTAATCCCAGCTACTCCGGAGGCTGAGGCAGGAGAAGCGCTTGAACCTGGGCGGCGGAGTTTGCAGTGAGCCGAGATCACACCGCTGCACTCCAGCCTGGGGGACAGAGCGAGACCCTGTCTCAGGAAAAAAAAAAAAAAAAAAGAAAGAAAGAAAAAAAGGCAAACTCCTTTGTAAGAGAGAGCTTATCAAGTCTATTTTACTGATGGGGAAACTGAGCCTTAGAGAGACGGGATTGGCCAGATCACGGACTGGAGGCAGCAAAGATGTAAAATCAGGGTTGGGATACAGGCTGCGCCGGTAGTGTGGGAGAAACGAGCTTCCTGAGACTCAGGAGAAACTTACAGCGATGGGAAGGAAAGCGGAGCACCGGAGACCCTGCAGGCCCAAAGGCTGAGCGAAGGGGAACCTCTCCTGAGGTGACACCTGTCAGCACGCCTCTTTTCGGCGCCAGTCCAAAAATCACGGTATCTGATTGGTGAGGTTGGAGGTTGAACGACCCTGATTGGTTAGTTGGACCTCGAACCACACTTTCACCTGGAGGATGGGGCGAGAAGTGGGCGGGATTTCGAACTGAGCCCCCTCGTTTCATTGGTGAAAAAAAAAAACAACAACGAACTAGGAACTATTCGGAAGTATGATTGGCTGTTGCTAGGAACCCTCCCAAGGCCTCATGGGCCCTAGCTACGGAAGCCGAGGAAGGCTGAGCACGGTGTCTCAAGGAAGGTAGTAGCGGAATCCCAGTTAGTTGTGGAGAGGCGGTATGTCCGGTTCCATGGCGACTGCGGAAGCTAGCGGCAACGATGGGAAAGGGCAGGAGGTCGACACCTCAGCCACCTATTACCGGTTAGAGGAGGTGGCGAAGCGCAACTCCTTGAAGGAACTGTGGCTTGTAATCCATGGGCGAGTCTACGATGTCACCCGCTTTCTCAATGAGGTGGGGCCCGGGAGGTGGGAGGCCTCTGGAGCTGCCGGGGCGAGGGGTGAAAAGGCTGTGTGGAGGGTATTTGGGAAGGAAGGGAGGCCTGACTGAGGGCGATAAGGCGTAGGAAAGGGACCACGACCCTCAGAGGGAAACTCGGGTGGGATTGGGGGGGAGGGCTTTAGTCTGCTTACATTTCCAGTCAGCTCCGAGTTCTGGTGCCTTACATAAGATCATGTATTACGTGTCGAGCACTTGCTGTGTGCTCGGCTAAACTCTAAGCCATCATTATCTCCATTTTACAAAAAGGGAAACTGAGGCTTAGGTTGAGGACTCTCAAGGTCATACACTTAACGGCCTAGATCCATTGAACCTGGGTCTGAAGTGCACCCACATCTGTGTTTTTTCCAGTGTGCCTTCTGAAGGAATAACCGCTTTTGGTTTTTGCCGTCTTGACTAGAAGCGGAGATTTCTCTCCATACCCCTCCCCGAACCTGGATTAAGCCTCCATTGGTTTTTATTTTTCCGTAATCTGAGTTGACCTTGACGCCAGAAGGTCTCAAAGTGACCCCCCCTTTTTTTTGTCATTGACTCATTGTTTTGTCACCCTCTTTCTTAACCCTTCAAGCCTGTTTTAATCTTCAAGCCTGTTGCATTAGATCTCATTTTAAAAATTATCTTTCAGATCATGGTGCAACTAATTTTTTTTTAAATTAAGGAAACAGGATAGACTTTTTAAAAAAAATTAAACTAAATTTATTGAAGTGTAATGTAAACACATAAATTGTGCGCATCTAAAATGTACATTTTGATGAGTTTTGAAGTATTCTTCCATGTGAAGACATAGAGCATTTCCATCACTCTAAAAAGCTTACTTTCCCTTTACAGTCATTCTCTCCCTAACCCCAGGCAACTAGTGATATGCAGCCACTAAAGATTGGTTTGAAGCTTTGATTTTTTTTTTCTTTTTTTGTATGTTTGATCAATTTATTTTGAGCAACAGATTAATGATTTTGTAAAAGTTCATTTCTATTTCTCTGAAGCAAATATACTAGTGAAATATTTTTTCAGTGAATTTGGGGCCTAGGTCTGCATCTTGATTTTTAATTCTGAATACTTTTAAAATTTAAAAGTTTCCCCTAAAGAACATTATTATTATTATTATTTTGAGACAGAGTCTTGTGTGCCCAGGCCAGAGTGCAGTGGCGCAGTATTGGTTGACTGCAACCTCTGTCTGCTGGGCTCAAGCGATTCTCCTGCCTCACCCTCCTGAGTAGCTGGGATTACAGTCGCACACCGCCATGGGTGGCTAATTTTTTTGGTATTTTTAGTAGCGACAGGGTTTCCCCATGTTGGTTAGGCTGGTTTCAAACTCCTGACCTCATGATCCACCCATCTCGGCCTTCCAAAGTGCTGGGATTACAGGCGTGAGCCACCACACCTGGCAAGAACATCATTTTTTTCTTTTCTTTTTTTGAGATGGAGTTTCGGTCTTGTTATCAAGGCTGGCGTGCAATGACGTGATTTCGGCTCACCGCAACCTCCACCTCCACCTCCACCTCCTGGGTTCAAGCAATTCTCCTGCCTCAGCCTCCCAAGTAGCTGGGACTACAGGCGTGCGCCACCATGCCCAGCTTACTTTTTGTATTTTTTTTTTTTTTTTTTTTTGAGGTGGAGTTTGACTTGTTACCCAGGCTGGAGTGCAATGGCGCGATCTCGGCTCACCGCAACCTCCGCCTCCTGGGTTCAGGCAATTCTCCTGCCTCAGCCTCCTGAGTAGCTGGGATTACAGGCAATGCCCAGCTAATTTTTTGTATTTTTAGTAGAGACGGGGTTTCACCATGTTGGCCAGGACGGTCTCGATCTCTTGACCTCGTATTCCACCCGCCTCGGCCTCCCAAAGTGCTGGGATTACAGGCTTGAGCCACCGCGCCCGGCTAACTTTTTGTATTTTTAATAGAGACGGGGTTTCACCTTGTTGACCAAGATGGTCTCCATCTCTTGACCTCGTGATCCACCCGCCTTGGCCTCCCAGAATGCTGGGATTATAGGCGTGAGCCACCGCGCCCGGCCGCAAGAACATCATTTTTAATCAATCTTACTAGTGGACAGTAATTTAACAACTCAAAATTTAGTAACTTCTTGCATTCGTATGGTGTGTGGCATTTTATGCTTTTAAAAGTGCTTTCCCATTATTTCATCTTCAAAACACTAGTCGAGGGTGACTTTGATAGGAGTGATTTTTATTTTAACAGAGGTACAAGTAACAGGTTCAGAGAGATCCAGATCATACAATTGATAGTAGCAGATTTGACAGATCCCTTGATTTCTCTTGTTGGCATAGCATTACTTCAAAATTCTAGCCTTAGCTATGACTTTTAGTACTTGCTTCGTAATAAGTTTTATGCTAAAGCATGGTTCATAATGGGTAGAAAATCATGTTTTTCCAACTGGGCACAGTGGCTTATGCCTATAATCCCAGCACTTTGGGAGGCAGAGGTGGGCGGATCACCTGAGGTCAGGAGTTCGAGACCAGCCTGGGCAACATGACAAAACCTCATCTCTACTAAATATATGAAAATTAGCCAGGCATGATGGTTCCTGTAATCCCAGCTACTTGGGAGGCTGAGATAGGAGAATAGCTTGAACCTGGTGGGTGGAGGCTGCAGTGAGCTGAGATGGCACCACTGCACTCCAGCCTGGGCAACGCAACAAGACTGTGTCTCAAGAAAAGGGAAAAAAAAAAAAAAGAAAATAATGTTTTTCATTTGTGGTTTTATTTTCTCCAAATTTCTTCTTGACTGATCAGTTTCTTCTTGCATATACAAGCCAAAGTAAATGTACTTTGTTTTTTTTACACAAAAGGTAGCATACTATGCACACTGATCTGTGTCTTGCTTTTTTCACTTAACTGTATCTCAGCAATCTTTCCATAGCAATAACTGGCATCCCTCCTCCTCCTTCACCACAGCTGCATAGGATATATTATATGGATCATAATTTATTTAAGCAGTATCCTATTGATAAACATTTGGATTTATCAATATTTTGCTGTCACATTTTTTTCTTTAAATTAACTTAATTGAAATCAAATGTAGGGACAATAAAATGTACAGATTTTGAATGTAGAGTTTAATGAGTTTTGACAAATGTCTCATCTGTATAATCAGCATCACAATCAATATACAGTCATGGGTCACTTCACAATGAGGACACATTCTGAGAACTGCATCATTAGGTGATTTTATCCCTTTACGAATATGATAGAGTGTACTTAATACAAACCTGGGTGGCATAGCCTACTACCCACCTCAGCTGTATGATACGGCCTCTTGTTCCTAGACTATAAACCTGTATAAACCTGCAGGCTGTTGTGACACACTAGCAAGTATTTGTGCATCTAAACATGGAAAAGGTGCAATAAAAATATGATATTATAATCTTAGGGGAACGCTATCATATATATGGCCCGTTGTTGACCATATTATGTGGCACATGACTATAGAACATTTCTACCAGTGTTGTCCCCATTCACATTGATTTTATTTCTAACACTATAGTAGGTACTCTTCTGTCTAGCTTATTTTGCTCAGTAGATCTGTGAGATTCATCTGTTTTTTTTGTTATCAGTGATTTGTAACTTCTAATTTCATTGTGTGAATATACCTACATTTGTTTATCCATTCACCTGTTGATTGACATTTGGGTTGTCTCCAGTTTGGGGCTATTATGAATAAAACTGCTGGTAACTTTCATGTACAAATCTTTAGGTGGACCTAGGTATGTATTCCTCCTGGGCAAATACCTACTAGTAAAATTGCTAGGAGTGAGATTATTAGGTTATTTTTCTATTTAACTTTTTAAGCTACTGCCAGAGCATTTCCCGAAGTGTTTATATCATTTTATACTCCCACCACATGTAGGTTTTCCAGTTTTTTCACATCTTCATTGACACATTGTAATCGTTAGTCATTTTACTTTTTGCCATTCTAATGGGTGTGTGTTGGCCAGGTGTGGTGGCTCACGCCTCTAATCCCAGCACTTTGGGAGGCTGAGGTGAGTGGATCACCTGAGGTCAAGAGTTCGAGGCCAGCCTGGCCAACATGGAGAAACCTCATCTCTTCTAAGAATACAAAAATTAGCCGGGTGTGGTGGTGTGTGCCTGTACTCTTAGCTACTTGGGAGGCTGAGGCAGGAGAATTGCTTGAACCTGGGAGGTGAAGGTTGCAGTGAGCCGAGATTGTGCCACTGCATGCCAGCCTGGGTGCCAGAGCAAGACTCTACCTCAAAAAAAAAAAAAAAAAAAAAGCCATTGTAATGGTTGTGGAATGGTATATAACTGTGGTTTTAACTCGCATTTTCCTGATGACTAATGATGTTGTATCTTTCCATGGGCTTATTGGCCCTTTACATATGTCTTTTTGTGAAGTATCTGTTTAATTTTGCCCTTTTAAAAATTGGGTTGTTATTACTGACTTGAAAGCATTTTTTCTAGTGCTGGATGTTGGCT